CAGGGATGGGGCAGACACAGCTTCTCTGGGCAACCTGTGCCAGTGCCTCACCACCCTCATAGTGAAGAATTTTTTTCCGAATTTTTTTCCTAATATCTAACCTAAATCTCCCCTCTTTCGGTTTAAAGACATTACCCCATGTCCTGTCACTACACGCCCTTGTAGAAAGTCCTTCTCCATATCTCTTTATCCTCACCAAAGGGAAAGCTGATCTCAAATTCTAGTTCCTATAAAACTGTATGAAGAGAGACTCACGCTCAGGATGCCTATGCCAAGTACTAGACCAGTACTTAACTGTAAAACTGCCTTTTTTTTTCCTTAATAACAAGCAAGGACATAACTGATCAAGATCTTTTGGCACTTGATTACAGATGAACCTCCAGAATGTCAGAAAAGCAAAAACAGCAGCAATAAAAGACAACAGATTTGAAGACCAAGTCAAAACTTGATTTTAAGCCTCCTATAGGGGACAAGGAAGGGACCTTAAAGATGATCTAGTTCCAACTCCCATGCCATGGGAAGGGACATCTTCCACTAGACCATGCTGCTCCAAACCCCGTCCAACCTGGCCTTGAACACTGCCAGGGATGGGGCAGACACAGCTTCTCTGGGCAACCTGTGCCAGTGCCTCACCACCCTCATAGTGAAGAATTTTTTTCCGAATTTTTTTCCTAATATCTAACCTAAATCTCCCCTCTTTCGGTTTAAAGACATTACCCCATGTCCTGTCACTACACGCCCTTGTAGAAAGTCCTTCTCCATATCTCTTTAGGTCCCTTTTAGGCACTGGAAGCTGCTCTAAGATCTCCCTGGAGCCTTCTCTTTTCCAGGCTTAACAAGCACCGACTGTCTCAGCCTGCCTTCACAGCAGAGGTCTGCCAGCCCTCTGATGGTCTTCAAGGCCTCCTCTGAACCCACGCAGGCAGGTCCGTGTCCCTCATGTGTTGGGGGTCCCAGAACTGAACGCAGGACTGGAGGTGGGGTCTCACAAGAGCAGAGTAGAGGAGGAGAATCACCTCCCTCACTGCTGGTCACACTGCTGGTGATGCAGCCCAGGACACAATAGAAAAAATAATTACTTAGGAAGTTTTAAACCTACAGCCACCACCACCATGACGTGCCTTACGCTCACAGCATTTAACAACTTCAATCACACAGGGAACAACAAAAACATATCATTTACAGCACATGCAGAGAAGTTGGCAGAATCTTAAATTTTAGAATAATGGCTACTTATTTGTCGATTTATTTAGTTCTTTGTCATAATGCTGTATGCCACAAATCCCTAGCTCAGGTCTGAAGTTCTAGACCTGTTCTACCTCCCAACAAGACCTTCTTGATGCTTGTGATGGAAAACAGAGAGGCAGTATTTTATCTTGCCTTAACTCCTTATTTTAAGTTGCTTTGTAAAATACCCTTGAGAAGATATCTGTACATAAACAACTGCAAATGCAAAGGAATCTGCTGTGGTACATTCCATTAAAGCCAGTATCTTTTCATAGTATGAAATAGTGATGAAACTGGAATACTAAGTAGACACAAAAAACTGGAAACATTCCCAGTGAGGAGGGGAAAATTGAATCCACTAAGACTACCAAGTGAAAAAATAATGTATACAAGGTGGAAAGGACTGATAAAGAAAATGAAGTTCTGTAATACATACATAACTGAATAAATAACCACAGTAAGACACACAGAAAGAAACTCCTACACGCAATTTATGGGTTCTATAAAGGATTCCATTTCTAACATCACCTTTTCTATATAAGCTGCACAACACTAACAGCAACTACAACAATCACAAATGCAAATGTACATGGAATAAAGAGATTCTATTATACATGTAGTACATACCACAAAAATATTTTAAAACTAGAAATTAAGAGTCAGTATATGAAACTGACTTTCTTCTATTAGCTCCATTTACAAAGGAAACAAACTGACAAACCAAGCCCTTTAAAACTGCTCTTCAGAACGCAATCCTCAAAAGATTTGAAAAAGCTTTAATTGTCATTCCACATTAAGCAGCCACGCCAATAAAGTAGGTGTTGCCTTTCTCACACACACACCTTCCTAGCTCACTTGTTTTCATCACAGTATGCCAGCAGAGTTGCCCACTGCATCACAGTGATCAAGCTGAGGAACCAAACCAGTCATGAAGTAAGGTGATAAAAGCTGGGGGAGCAGGAGCTGTGTTTTTCTGGCAGACCACTTCCCTGATCCATTTCACTGTGCAGCTGCACAAGAAGCAGGACTACCAAAACCAACAGGATAATATAAGGATATGAATAATCTGTATCTACTCAAGACACCACTACTGCTCAAGAAATGCACTTTGACCTGCAACCTAAATAAAACCCACTCGCTTTAAAAAAAAGCATCTATCGATTTTGTTTTGTTCAATAAAAATTACTTAGCTAACCAGTTGAGCAAACACAGAATACAATTGAAGTCACTGCCCCTTAAAATGGAAAGTCAGTCAACATCAAAACCAAAAAGAACACACTGTTCACCAGGGGAAAAGAGGCAAGGGGGGATGGAGAGGGAATCAATTGTTCCATACTTATTTTTTATACTAATCTGGAATTACCACTGCTTTTTTTTTGGCTGGAAATTTTTTGTTTGTTTTTAAACTAGATGCCCTTTCCCTCAGTTCATCATTCACTATTACAACACTAGTAACTGTCTGTGTAATTTCAGGTAAAGGCTAAATGACACCAAGTTAAACAGGTTTGTTTTCTAAGCAACTTTTTCACCTCAGAAAAACAAGGTGGACTTCTATTCCCTCCACATGAATAGTCAGTGAATCAGTGCTTTGAGTTCTTTCATAGAAGCCTTGCTTTCCTTGCATGCTAGGCTAACACAGAAGCCATTAATTACTTCTCTCACAATTTTTTTCTTTTTTTTTTTTTTTTATTCTTTTTCTTTTTGGTAAATGCTGAAAATCACTTTACTAAACATGCATCACATCCAAGATAAATGATAAAACCCATGCTTGTTTCATCAGCTTTCCAACCACCTCTAGGTGGTTTGTTGATTGTCCAAGAACAATCAGTTCTCTAGAAGCCACTCCTTTTTACACTCAGATGACAGTATAGTACAACTTCCATCTATTGTCCATCCCAAGACTACATTTTCACAATTCATTTACTGTAAAAATTACTCATACACATTTGCAGACACGGACACAGATCGACAGCTGGCTCCATCTAACTCACTGTACTGTAACTATACTAAGACAGTATATCCATAACGCTTACTCAGGATAAGCTGACATCATCACAAAAAGAAAACAATTTTCATCCTTTTTGCATCTCGTAATGCTTCCTTCCCTTGTGATGACAAGAATTAGGTGAACTGGAAATTCAGTTGGGGAATCCCATTTAAAAAAAACCCAAAACATCCAGTTCCAAAATGCTGGTCTTAACCTCAATCAATTCCCTGATTTATCATGCAAGAACTTGTTTCATGTAAAGAAGGGGAAGCACAGGAAATAAGCCACCCTGCATAAAAGGTGTTTCTTTCAGCAGTAGTACTTCCTTATGCCAGCTCAGCATGACCCTCAAACAATTTACAAAGCTGCACTACCTGCCACTGCTAAAGTAGAATAAAAACTCATATCTCAATAGTTAAAGAAATCCATCATCACAGACAAGATTAAATTAAAGATACCTGTCCACTGTATATAGCATTTCATATAGTCACTAAAAAACTGTTTCATGCTCTTAAGTTTTCCTAATTAGTATTTTTAGGGTCCTGACTGCCTCCCTCACCGAGATAAACAAAGCCACAATATTTACTTCTCAAGTTAAATAATTTCAAAATGCTTAGGTGCAATATGAACAACACCCTCATTAAAACAAATTCTTCATCAAAACTTTAAGTTTCATTAATGCCATTAACATTCAAGTGTGCTCACACTATTTGTCAAACTTTTGCAGATAATCAAGATATATATCCACACATTTTTAAAAAAACTTCCCACCAATGTGCCTGTTTGAGTTAAAGCCTCCCACACACAATTTACTTACTGTACAGTCATTGCACATAGCATTGAAAAAGCTTCTGCTTTGTTATATAGAATAGAGTATTTCTATTTTGCAGAAAAGTAATTTATCTTGAATAGAGACTAAGAATCCACTGGTAACCTGCAGACTACAATGAAGTCAAACATTTACATTCTTAAAACAGCAGACATTTCTAAAGAGAAAGGTCCTCCAGTACTGAGATAGTCCATTACCTCTCTCCCCTCCCCACTACCAAAGCATCGCTTCTTTAAAGCCCGAATCAAAACTTCTTTTAACCATTCAAGTAAGGAATTTAAGCATCATCTACTAGGCACCATACTGAAAAAGAAACATAGATCAAGGTCCTAAACAGAAGCAGTTCTCAGAATTAATCAATTTGTATTCCCATAAATGAAGCTTTACTAATCTTTACAAGTATCTCCAAATAACTTAGATGTGGCCTTATCCCTCGTCCTTTTTTCAAGGGTCTGTTTTGAGTAATTTTAGTCATCTATGCTGTTCAGCCTGTTCTAGCAACAAAAAATGAATCAGGGACCTATGTCAGGATACCTCCAGATTAGCTTTTGTTCCCTCCACATATATTTCACTCTTACTGCAGCTCACACTCTTCACAGAGTCCTGTTCTCAATGTCAGTCTGTGCCCACATATCTTCCCAAATCATCTCCATTTAACTCTGCAAAACACCACCGCATGACACCTTCCCTTTGCTTCAGCAGCCTTAAAGTGTACTCATTCCTCTAGTTTTGATCTCTGTTTTGAGCTTTGTTACAAAAGCTCACAGTCTAACAG